TTTCTGAATGAATTTAAATCACTGATTTTAATCCTGGTTTAAATTAGCAGGCAGGAAGCATCTTTGGACCGAATCGTTTTTATCCATTCTGCATGTGTAGGTTTGTCTGTCGTCCCGTGACTGCCACAACCTTTAAGCGTGCGATTCACACTGCCGTAGTCTCCTGACTCTACATTTGAGGCCATTTTTTGGTAAACTCGATCCACCATCCCTGCACACCCTTACGCTGTTACCACACGGAGTCAACGCGTTCAGCTTTTGTTAAATACACCTTTTTCCTTCTGTTCTTACACAGCTTTTACTCCTTATTTTGCCAAATGGCCTTTAGGTGAAAATGAATTAAACCAAAAGAAACAGGAGAAAGGTTTTTTTTCAGTTGTTTTGCAGCGGCTGATGACTTTAACAGCCCCTTGCCTCTTCGGGAACTGGGGAACGGAGCAATTCCCGCGCTGCTTTGGCAGGTTTGGGGACAAGCTTAGCCCGGCTGCTCCTTCACTGCCTGGAATTGAATCCCCCTTTGAGGAATTTTGCTTTTTGTCCTTTCTTGCTGTTCTCTCCAAGTCCAGAACGGCACGAAGCACATCCCTTCCTTCAACACCTGTAGAGCTTAAAACAGCTTTGGTAAAGTTCTGTGTATTTTCTAGATATTTTTCTTTGGAAAAGTGTTTCTTGCTTTGCCACGCTACGCATCTGCTCTTCCTCACCAGCTGATGCTTTAGCGATCAGGGCAAGCGACTCCAGCCCTATTTCCTTTTCACATTGTGAAGAAATTAAACTTTCTCTTGGTGAAGAAGAACCCCGACTTAAAGACTTTTTCACAACGTTAATAACATTTTTCTCCCGCCAAATCTTTGGGTGCTTGGGTGACAGACTCAAGTTCTGCACCAACGTTCTTAAAAATGAGGCTTTGTGCCCACCTTCTAGTGCCCTTTCCTGGAAGTTTCTACACTGAGTAACTTTTCAATCAGTAACTACAAATTAAACTTTAACGGGTGTAAGTTTGAACCATGATTCTTAGAGAATCACAGAATCGTTTGGGTTGGAAAAGCCCTTTAAGATCATCAAGCCCAACCGTTCCCCTACCCCTGCCATCCCACCACTAAACCCTGGCCCTCAG